CTTCCCCCTCCCTCCCCACCCCCTTTAAACCAACCCACCTTCGCAGGGGGTTCTGAAAAAGAACTTGAAAAGAAGTTTGAACAAAAAGCAAGACAGATTAATTCTTTAAAAGCCAAAACAACAAAATGAATTGAATAAGGCACTGTATCATGTTTTAAAAATAGGATTTATTTAGGAGACAATAACCACCAGACTAACTAGTTGACGACACATCACGACATGGGCCAGACAAAATAGAAAGACAACGCATGTAGATGAGTCTCAAAAAGGAACACGGGATAACAATAATCACACTGACACAATTACATCGAATTTGTACAGGCTAATGTGGTAGAAAAATAAACAACGTTGACCACAGATAACGTTCATAACAATTACGATAAAGATTACATGTTATTAAATATCCCATTTACTTTCAAAAGAAGCATTTTATTTATCTAAAAAAAATGGACACCCTGATGTCTGAAATGTAAGTCACATGGTAGACTATTAATAAGCAAAAATGAATATTCCACTGTATTTATTTGAATCGCATCGATATCAGTTTTTTTTTAAAAATCACTAAAAAAAAAAAATCCAACGATCTGTCACAAAAGTTGACGTTGATGAAATTTTAAAAAACATCGTGACTCGTCAATGAAGCAGCCTACCTTTCAAAAATCTGTTATAACAATTAATACTTTTCTTCCAGTAGACCTTGGGAGGGCGCAGACCCCCGAACATTGCAAAAGGTTGTTTTTTTGTATTGCTTGGGGACTAATCAATAAAATTCATATCTTAAACAATTCAACCTTTGTGTTTTGCTTCATATTTTGAAAACTTTAGCCAGGCTATCTTACCCTTTCAAAAAATGAAATAAAATTGTTTTTCCAATATGTTATGACTCCTTTCCGACAGGACTCAATAACAGCAACACGGATTATATATATATACATGAAGTGTAGATATGTACGCTTTAGACATCAGCACACACACACACACACACACACACACACGAAAGTACTTTGAACTATATACATAGCAGTGATACAGGTCGCAGTTGTGAGTATGTACAAATAATGAATAATTGATTGAATCCTCAGGTAGCCGAATGATTAATGAATCGACCACAGCCCATGGGGACTGTTCTTTTTTGGTTCCATTTTGTTTTGTTTTGTTTTATTTTACGTTGTCCCGATACATCTCATAGCAGAGATCGACAGGTTAGTGTAATACGGGGTGCCCACTACGGATGGCATTTGCCGATCAGGCCCATCGCTCGACTCGGTCGCCTCAAAAACAAACGTGTTTGTTTTCAGTTTCAGGCGATCGAGTCGGGCGATCGGCCCGATCCAACCGTAGTGGGCACCCCGTATGAGACTCAGCCATACGCCATTTTGAGGAGTAGCTTATGTCGGAGACTTGCAAAGAGCAGTCGTTATGATGCTGTAGTGGTTGTTTGTGTAAAGAGATGCACATCGACACAATAATGGTCATTTAGTGCTGGGGACACTTAAGACAGACAGACAGACAGACAGACAGACAGACAGACAGACAGACAGACAGACAGACAGACAGACAGACAGACAGACAGACAGAAACAACAGACGGAAAAAAAGAAGTAGGACCTACCAGAGGCACCCACCAGTCGCTATGAATTAGTCCCTATTAGTGTCTTTTTAGTAACAACCATAACGTTCAAACCAACGATGGACAATGTCATCAGCCTTTGGATGCACGATGAAGGAAGTTATTAGGATCTATTGTTCCGCTGAGAGTTCAGTGGTTTAGTGAAGGGCAGCACATAACAGAGACAGAACAACGGAGATGTGGTGCTCAAGAAGAACAAGACAACAGAACAAACGGCAGAATGAAAGTGAAATAGATAGGACCTACCACAAGCATTCAACCACGTTCGTAGTCTGAGGTTGCTTGATACAGATGCAAGAAAGGATTAACATACTGGTGTCGTTTGTAGAAAAAAAGTGTAAGTACAAGTAAATGACTTTGATCTTTTATGGAGCCTACAAAAAGCGATCAAGAATGAAAATAGACTCAATGTATGTGTCCCTTTTAGACCCTGATCTCCCGATTTTGGCAAGTATGTCTTTCTGTCATTCGTTGGTCTGTGTTGGGGATATTCTCATTTCGATGATGTCAGTTTCACATTTGTATCATGCAATGTAATTTCTGGAAGCTATTTTAAAGAACTGCTCTACTGTTGTTCCATTCGTGTATCAAGATAGTAAGCTGAAATATCATTAGACTCCAAAGGAAACAATAATACAGACATATCATGCAGACTAAAGTTATTGATATTTTGACAAAATGGAATGAAAATGAAACATCAACACACAGAATGTTAATGAATCATAACTGCTGTATAGAAAATCAAAAGGTTTAAATTGTACATATTTATAGGACGTGACGAAGATAAATATATATAACAGACCAGGAACTATAATAAACAGTACATTCATCTACTGTAAGTCCCTCATTTTTAAGCCACCTTTCTTACTTTTTTTACATCTGTGCCGAGCAGATGGTATCTTCTCTGAGTGCTCACTGTCTGAAGTCTGTCCCCACTTCGTGCGGAAATGTCGACTTCAGACCGCTAAAGCAGAAAAATGCAACAAACAAACAATAACAACAATAACAACAACAACAACAACAACACTATCTTCGGGGCTCCGAACATTTCGAACGGATAGGCTACCACACACGCACAACAACACTAACAAACACTCAAAGAAACAATTTAAACATGAGCCAAAACCTATTTTAAAGGCAATAACTCATATATCTGTGAACTACGTAAAAGAAAACTTCCCACAAATAAAACAAGGGAAAAGTAAATAGAAAAAAAAAATAGATTAATATTTTTTAAAAGTCAGCCTAGGGTGATAACATATTTTAATGTATAACCGTTTTTCGGTAAAACTCACGCAGGAATATATATTCAAGTAAACATAAAAGGCGTTGAGCCTCCCCCCCCCCAAACCCCAACAAAACCAAACAAACAAACAAAAACAAACAAACTTTACAACGTCTTACAAATCGTCCGTAATGGCCTCCAGAACAGGGACGGTAAAACCGAGGCCATCAAATAAAATGGATATTATGTTTCTTTGTTGAAAAAGTTTTTGAAAAAGTTTACGGAGGGAAAGGGGCTCTGCTATAGAGAAGGCCTGGTCTCAGCAGGAAGGGGTCACACCTCACACAAGAACACAGGCCCTCGTATGATTGCAAAAAAATAATAATAAATGGGGAACACTTTCTGTTTAAACGAAAAGCATCAAAAAGAGGGATAATCATGATTTTTCTGACTTGAAACCCCTGGATTATCTCCTTTAAAGCATTTTTGAAATACAATCTACGCAAACAATCCACAGCCCACAAAAAATCGACAGTCGAAACTCAATGTTGAATAAGAGGTCCAAAGAATCGACCCACCCACAAACATGCCACAGAGTTATTCATAAATTTCAGAGGTGTATTCGAGCTTGGCTGGAAAAAAAGGTCAATACTTAGACCATAATAATATAATATTTTGAATAGTCACCCACTACCTGAGTTCACTTAGCAATGTCAATCTTAAATGAATATTATTTTTAATACACAAATACTCAGCTGCCTTTTGTCAAAATGAAAAGAATACTACGCACTAGAAGTTATTTAGCAAAGTTTCTTTTTTGTGAATAGTTCTGCAATTGTTTTAAAATTGAGACTAAATTAACAAGAGTTAAGAACTGCCTTCATTATTTATCTCAGGTCCAGACCTAGATGATGCAATAATGGTATTAATTATTTGTAAAAGGAGCATTAATTTTGTACTTTTGGTGGGGTGGGGTTCAAGACCCAGTGAACGTTCATTGACTAACGGTTCAGAAGCTCTAGCATTACAAGAAAGGTGGATATTACATACGTTCATAGTCTGTTGTAGTTAATTGTCAATATTTCACGCCCAAATCAGCACAATCTAGATCATATATTGGAAGGCAGAATACTTCGATCGTGCAACCAGTGCCAATCCGGGTAGGGTGGGAAACAACATTCCAGCGCAAAGACGTGGATAATCGATGAAAAAAATCTCCCCCACTCGGAAAAAATGGAGCTCATGTCTTCTTTATGCAAGTAAAAAAGAGCCAAACTGCCACACTATAAACACTGGTAACATAATATGTATACTTCGTAAACAGTACTTTCATCGACTCCTTCGTCAGTTTATGTGGAAAACGCGACCAGTTCACTATTATTTTATTTGATTAATTTGGCCTATCTGTGAACAGCAGAAAGAACTGACACATTTTTAGGTTTAATCTGATAAGTGGATTATGAGCAGAGACATAACACATCTAACAGACAAGTATGGATGCTAACATTATTTTAGGAAAACATCTTTTTCAATCATAATTGAAGGTTGTTACTTTCTCATCCCAACCTCCACCCCCTGTAGCCTCCTCACCTATGAGTCCCTTTCATTTCAATTAGAACACACAAAAATCCTCTTGATTTGGGACACTTGAGTCGCCCAGCAGTGTGCCAAAATCGCACCAAGTCCGGGAACTCGACAAGCTGTCTTGCCGCCATTCTGTTGGGTCCTCCAGATCTCGGGAGACGTGTGAAGTGTACACCGTACATCCCACTCTACGCCAACAGGATCACGCTACACATGAGGAAGATGAGGGAGAAGAAGAAGAAGAGGACTCTGTCTACCACAAGAGCCACTTGTCGCCACTCGCACAGCGCGTCGTCTCTGGCATCCTGAAGAAGAAAAAACAACAAAAACAAAATATTAGTAGAACGTAAAAGTTACAGTTTGGCTTTTAACCTTTTTGCTTTACGTCCCTCGGTTTCTAAATAGTTCCAGCACCCTTGTTGTACAAATAAAAGAAAGAAAAGCAAGAATCCAAGGAAATGAACGAAGCTGCCAAACATTCTAACGATTATTCTGCCATGATCTGATGTAACACATTTCTTATTTGCGTATCGACATCCGTATTCAAGTGATCTGATGAAACGCACTTTTTATCAATCTCGGGAAGAAGAGGGTGTTTTATCAGATCACAGGTGCATTAGTAAAAGGAACATTCATTTTTGACTCTGGGTGGGGTGGGGTTAAAGACACAGTGAACGTTCATGGACTAAAGGATCAGAAGCGGTTTAGTATGGCATAACAATATAATATACCAGATCCAGGCTAAGGTGACCTTGAAGCTTGATTAAGTTGTGTCTTCCTTTTTGTTTACTCCCTCTCATTCGTTTTCATTCAACAAACAAATCAAACTATCCAAACAAAGAAAAAGGAAGAAAATCAGACAGTTTTTCACACCGACACTATGCAGGAGTTAACTTTTATTTATTTCCGGTGGATGGTTGGTGGGTGCTCTGATGTAGTTTGTTATTTCTATCTTGAAACATGTCCAATCTTTGGCACTCATAGGACCTTATTGCCGTAAAAAATCTCACAAAAATCGAACCAACTTCATTACCTAAATTACTAAGACCAGCCAGGAGCTGAATAATCTCCGACAGACCATGCGCTATGTAGTTCACCTTTAAAAAAGGAACGGACGGCGAAAAAGAGCTGCAGCAAAGAAGATACATTTTCCACCTTCTCTAATTTTGACAGAAGCAGAGTGAGAGTGCGAGATAAAGAAAATCAAAATTAGAGAAGACGCAGGTCGGTAGAAAGTATTTAAATACGTACTATTAGTATATGTCAATACCCCATCCCCCTCTCCCTTCCCCCCCCCCACTCTCTCTCTCTCTCTCTCTCTCTCTCTCTCTCTCTCTCTCTCTCTCTCTCTATGTGTGTGTGTGTGTGTGTGTGTGTGTGTGTGTGTGTGTGTGTGTGTGTGTGTGTGTGTATGACTGTGTGTGTGTTGTTGTATGACTGTGTATGTGTGTGTATGTATACATCATATCGCTTCCTCAACATCACGCCCAAACAGACCTGCACTGATATCCTGGCGCTGAGCAGGTTCACTTGACGCGTGATTTCCTCCAGGTCCTTCTCCATTTTCGACGTGGTGGCGCTCCTGTTCTCAACGTTGGTCAACTGTCGGTCCTGGGAGCTGATGGTTTTGTCCAGGCCGCGCATAGAAATGGGGTCCACGTCAGACAGGGGGTAGTAGCTGTCGCTCCCAAGGCACACCAATCGCTTGAGGCTCCGCAGAAAAATCTTTTGGTGGAAGGTATGCGGCTAGTTAGTGGACGGTCGGGCAGCATGCATGGGTGGAAGGCAAAATCATAGAGTGCGGATCATGCAGAAAGGGAGACTTTTATCTTACGAAAACAAGCTTTTCTCGAGATGTCCTTGTGTACCTTTTTATGAATACTGGGACAGTGTTTTAACTCTGCTAAGCGATGGTCTTGAATTTTCTTGTGTCTGGCTTTTTTGAGACTTTTGAATAGAAGTTGTGCGATACATGTACACGACCTAACAAGGAGTCTGGAAAAAATATTGATAATTTTAACACTTAAGGGCTGGTGGGGCACCTAGAAATCGTGTTTGGGGGTCAAATTTTGTAAATTGGGTTTATTACATATTATAGTACCTGGACACTTCCTGAACAATATCCAGAAACGTATGTAAGCCTTGCTACACCCTAAAGCTGTGTTTTTTTGTCAGGTTTTTCGGCGAAAACACTTGTTGTCTAACCTTTTCTTACCTGTATCGGCTGTTTTCTCACAATTCTATTTTTCACATATTATCCCATTTTTCTGCTCTGTTTCTTATTCAATTTTAATGTAACTTTCACAGGATACCAACAACACCTAGTTCTAAATTTTGGCCCGTTGAATTCTTGATTAATGTAGTAGTTTTTGATTTATGGGCTTAGAAAGCATGAATTTTCCATTTTTTTCACTTTTTTTTGCAACATCTCAATTGTAAATATCATAAAATAAAAACTAAAGCATATATCAAAAATTCAACAAGCCAAATTTAAGAACTACATATGTACTGTTGGCATGCCAAATTAGAAGTGAATCGGTTAATAAATAAGGAAATAAAATGGGATTGAAAAAGGTATACAAAATCCAATATGGCCGCCGTTTCCATAGCAACCGATTCACAATATACTTTTTGAACTATTGTTTTAAAATCCCCAATAACACACGATGGCCCACAGCAAATATCGGCACTTTAGGCCTTGTAATAGCCAAAATAGACCTCAGGTGCCCCACCAGTCCTTAACAATGAGGTAAACTGCTTTTGTTGTATTGGAATACTTTGTACTTGAGCATAAGTGTTCTAATACAGAGATTCAGTTAGAAGTAATGGTAGAAAAGTGGGAAATTTGCTAGCTTAACTGCAGCAACAAATTAGTTTGACCACAGATCATGACAGGAAAAAAAACCCCCGGTATAGTCAAAATTCACGATAAAAGCATACCGGTAGAATTGTCGCTCATTGAGCAAAACAAGCACCATCAACACGATAGCGGAGTCTGCCTTCAACGTTACAGTTCATTTCGCCATCTCCTTGATCCCCACCATCAACTTGTGCACCACCAACACCACCTCCACCATCTCCAGCTTAGCGCTATCCCCACTGTTTTCACCACCAATGCTACTACAACACTACCACCAACACTACTTCCTCAATCAACACCACCATCACTACCACAAAAACACTGCTATTACCATTACCACCACCACCAACAAAAAGATTACTTACCCGACCACTATTTATTTCATTACTACTACAATTTACATCGTTACACTGTCTGACCCCCCCCCCCCTTACGCACACACATGTCCCAAAGCAACAGAGGCAAAAGAGCATGGGACTAAATACTTAAACAAGTCTACAGAACTGTGAGGATATTTTAACAATGTTTAACTGGTATTACATATCAAACATAAAAAGACTAACGTTTATTAATCTAAAATTACACCTGATTCATGTAAAACTCTAGCTACACTCGTTATATTAATGATGTGCGTCGATCGACCTACCCATCGGATAGTCTCCGGTACTTTTCGCCTGCGGGGTCCTCTGTTGTGAAGGTTCAGCACAAACACGGAGCAGGCCAGGGACAGAACTGACCACAGCAGCGTCAGTGTATAGTAGATGCCTGGACACAAGTTTACGTTTCATTTTTTAGTAAGAGTTTTACTGCACTTGCAACACAATTAGGTCACACATAAGGGTAGAAGAGTAAAGGTGTGGCAAGAGAGCAACAAACACTAAAAATAAGTATAGATATGGAAGATAACATGTGTTTGATAGGAAAGAGAGAGCAAACCACACCAGAGGAACCACTAGGACAGAAGGGATCATGGAGGGGACTAAAATCAGGGAAATGGTGTACCGTTTAGGCTCTTCGCTTTTACACCTGAGTTCGATTCCGGAGAGTGGAACATTTTATGTTTGTCATTTACCACTGAGACAGTGCGTGCCTGCACCTCGGTGAATATGGAAATGAATTCCAAGAAAATCGGGCGAGCGATAGAAGAATGATGAAGAGAGAGGGCATGTTGGGATGAGAAACAAATAAAAAAGGGTAATAAAGATAAGATTAACGTGGAGAAGGACAGAAAGTTAAAAACATAACACGATTGACTGGATATTGGAAGAGTACATGGTGCAGAAAAAGAAAAGAAGAGAAAACGGCAAAAATAATGAGGGTAGAGAAAGAAAGAGAAATTAAGACAGAAAAAGTCACATAGTTGCATCAAAGGATATTCTTAATTATGACACTCATTATTTCACTTATACCTCATTTATAGCTCACGGTATAAGCGGCATATAAATTAGACATATAAAGTAAGTAAATCATTTCACTTGGGATTGATGAGAGAGGGACAATCTCTATAACATAAACATGCATGACAGTTAAGGATAGACGCTCATGATTGAGTTAAGGATACACAAATGATGGAGAAGATGATGATATCATGACGGTGTCAGAGTACAACAACAGAACCTGGTGGCCCACTTACTTATGGCGGGAAGCTGAGCGTGGGCCAGGGGCAGTACGTCACACAACTTGGCACTCAGGATGAGCACACCCAGGACGATAAACGAGCCTGGAAATACACATGGGAAATCGAACTTTGTTAATCATTGTGTGTTTGTCAATGTGGATTCACCATTTAGTATTACACGTATGTATACCAGTGCGCATTTACCAAAGCAAATGTATCATTGTGTATCTATTTTCAAAGCGCATTTACGAATTAGTATATAACAACAGTACATTTAACTGACCATCAAGCATTTCTAATCGAGAGTTTGTCAAAATGTATTTACCGTTTAGTATGCCAGCAGAGCGTATTTATCAACATAATATAAATATGTGTCACTATGTAGTTGCCTCAGTATATTTATTATTTAGTATACCAGTGTGCAATTGCCAGTTAGCATTTACTAATGAGTACAATTTGCTAAAATGAAATTTCCATTTAGTTTACAGCACTATACATTTACCAAAGTGCATTTGTCCTTGTGCACTTGTTAAAATGTATTTATCGTTTAATGTCGAAATGCATTTACCGGTTCTGTTTTACTGACCTATAGTGTGCGTTTAACAGGTTGCATTTTCTGGCTGTTTTACTGACCTATTGTCACTCTCTCCCTGGACTCTGGCGGCATGAGCAGAGTGACAGGCACCAGGCCCCCAAGCAGGACAGCCGGGAAGACAAACAGCTGGACATAGTAGTCTGGGTTACGCTGGAAGGTAAAGTTCACCTGAGGAGGTCAAAGGTAAAGATTTCACGTTGTGAGTTTTGAGGAAAATATGTGCATACACGACCCAATGACGGTCATTACGCTGTTTAAAAATAAAAGATACAACCGTTTTAACGCCCCCCTCCCACCCAATCTGCATAATTTAGATCCTTTAGGAGGCGGGCTTGGACCCTGTCTTCCAAGGCCAACACAGGCTCAGAAGTACAGAACATCTCGGTAGAAAGACCTAAATAACCGATAAAAAATTCTCCGCATACAGGAAACGAAATTCGTGCCTCCAGTGTGACGACGAGGCGCACATAATGAGAGGCAGCGTGGTGGAATCAGGCTCTCGTCAATTAGAGGGTAGATGTGAGGCAGCGTGGTGGAATCAGGCTCTCGTCAATTAGAGGGTAGATGTGAGGCAGCGTGGTGGAATCATGCTCTCGTCAAAATAAATAAAGTGAATGAAACTTGCATTGTTCTGCAGGTTTGTGAATTTTTATCAAATTTTTTTTGGGGGGGGCTCCACACCTTTCATGCGCATTAAAGAACTCATTTCTGAATGCACGAAAAATTTAAATTTTCAATCACCACGGACTCTTAAGCTAAGGAAATAACTAATATTTGGCGGTCATTTTCTCACTAATTTTACCTCTGAAAATAGGTGACCTCCACCTCCTTCATTCACAAATATCTCGACTTGTATTCAATATAAAGGATATTTTTTTCAATCAAATAAAGACAAGTGAACAAGTTTTACGATGATACCAATAACTCTACGCACCCAAAAACTGACGAGAGCCTGATTCCACCACCCTGCCTCACCTATATAATCGCCACACAACAGATGCGGGTGGTCATGATATTATAGTAAAAAGGTAAACGCAAAATAGATAGGCTGAGCCCACAAGGAGCACGAGGCAGGGGTAGGCCACGGGAAACATGGAGGAGATGCGTGGAAAGGGACATGAGAGAAATGGAGCTCACTTGGAACGAGCTTGGAAGTATGGCTCAGGACAGAGATAAATGGAAGGAGCTTGTATGTGGCCTATACCCTGCCAGGGGTGAAAGGCATTGATGATGCTTATGATGAAATAACAAAGGGAGAGCCAAGAAGTAAGATGTTCTAGCAGTGCTCTTCAACTTAGACAAGGTAAATGATAATACCTGAAACACGTTTCCCATTATCCCAAGACGACTTAGTCACTCAAGGAATCCAAAAGCGATCTATTTTGGTGACGTTGACAAAAAGAAATGTTTTTGACGCCTAATTTTTTTTTATTGATCAAGTTGGTCTCATCTTGCTAAAAGCTACATGTGAAAAGAATGAAAAAAAAAATGTAAAGAAAGTTGGGTGGGCAGAGTCAAAAATAGGTCAGATGGAACATTGAACCATCGCAAGAAATCAAAGGATGTAACAAATAGAATATTTCTGTTTTCTTTATTCTACATACCAAAACTCACACAAAGCCAGCACACACATACAAAGAAAACCACACGCACACATCTACGCTGGAAATAACAAATTGCTAGCGTCATTCCACATTACCAAAGTCAATATATGGGTCTCTCGGGAAAAAGCCTTTATTTGAATCAAGACATCAGGGGGAATTTACCATATTAAGGTTTCGCTGTTTTCGATATTTCCTTCCTAGTATTCAAAGGGATAAATAACGAGTACTCGGTGATGGTTTGATTTGGCTCTCAATCTTTCTCTGATTTTCTCAAAACTAAGACTAGCTGTTCTTCTTGATTTTTTAAAGTAAGAGTTTACAGCAGTTGCAACACAAATGGATCAGGGAAGGGCCTAATCTTAAAGATAAAAATAAGAAGGACTGACGTATACGACAGTGGAATGACGCGACAATGCCATTATGCTTTATAAACTCACCTGCATGTGAGGGTACGGATCTGGGCAGCAGGCGTATTTTTTCTCCTTTACAGCACAGCTGAGGAATGTACAGGGGGTGAAGAGTTGATCCATCTATCTATCTATCTATCTATCTATCTATCTATCTATCTATCTATCTATCTATCTATTTATCTATCTATTTATCTATCTATCTATCTTTCTATCTATCAAGAAAACAGAGAACATTTGCAAAGATTTCAGCCTGAACTGTAGAAAAACAAAGGCACTAACAAGTTACACAAATAATGCTCCTCCTGTTTAAAGCAAATAAGTTAACTCTTAGATCTACAGATGTCTGCGACTGGTCTAGCTGCCAGGCTCTTTGTTGTCGTACGCAGAAGACGAGAGCCTGATTCAAGAGTGGGGAAGTTCTTCTTTGTCGAGTATCGCCGTCTATCCATCTATCTATTGGGATGTGTATTAAACTTATGTTGCGTTGGTCCTGACAACCGGGTTTGAATCAGCCGGCCTCCAAAATGATCTTAATATAATTGTATAGAAGGATGTGCACAATTAATTACATAATTTAAAACTTCCATTAACCACTTTATCCCCAGACTCGACACTGACTGCCTCTTTTTTCTAGGATTTTAGTGGATGTTCTTGTATCGAAAGGGTTAAGAACCATATTATTTACCCCTAGCCTATAATTTAGTACAAAGTCTATGAGCGGTCGCCATAGACTTACGTTTTAGTTTTAGTAAGAGTTTTACGGCACTTGCAACACAATGGGTCATAATGTACGTGCGAAGATTAGAGATGCTAAAAGAGAATAACAACACACAATAAAGGAGGGGGGGGGGGGTTAGAAATAATAGATTATGTCGGATAGGAACGAAGGAGAAAACCACTCAACAGCTCCCGCCAACCTCCTACACAGACTCACGTGGTGCCGAGGAGAGCCCAGTTTTTGTTGGTGACGTAGTCGGAGTTGTCACAGGCGGTGGTTGGGGAGCCGCCGAAGTAGGTGATGTTGAGCTGATGGCCGTGGTAGACGTAGCTCGCGAACTTCATACCGCACACCTGGGGGCAGAGAGATTTTTGTTTGTTTTTGTAAAGTGTTTTACGGCGCTCGCAACTGTATAAGGTCATATGAGCGCGCAGGACACACCTAATATTTTCAGTTGGTAGGAAATTTTGAATTTTGCCCGGATGGCGGCCGAATCCTACTCTTAACAATTTTAGACCACCAAGGGATCTTTAACGTGCGCAACTTGTACACGGGCCCTCCGAGATTTTTCACCCTTGTCCGAGAAGGCTAGGGGTAGATCTTTCCTACCAGAAGATCTGGGGTGTGGCAGAAAGACAGCAGTAAGGAAGAGCCTAGGAGTAGCAGTAGAAAGGCTGCAGAAAGAGTCAGTAGCCCAGAGGGGGGGGGGGGGGACAAAGGAGGTGAGGGGGTGGGGGCAGAAATTGGAAATGAAAGTAGACAAGAGAACATTGCTAGAGAGCAGGAAAGAAGGTGAAAGGAGACAATTTTAGAGAAGAAAATTGTTCGGTCGCTACCCGGATTCGAACCCGGGACTTTTTGAATGAGAGGCCAACACCTTAACCTCCAGGCCACGAAAGCCCCCGGCAGAGAGAGGTTGTGATGGTGGGGTTGGTAGTGATGATGGTGGTAGGGGTGGTGGTGGTGATGATGGTGATAATGATCGTGGGGGTGGTGATGGTGAAGGTGGTGGTGGTGATGAAGGTGATAATGATGGTGGTGGTGGTGGTGGTGATGGAGCAGAGGGGGTGCTGTTGATCTGATGGCCGAAATAGACGTAGCAGACGAACTTCATACCGCACACCTGGAGAGAGAGAGAGAGAGAGAGAGAGAGAGAGAGAGAGAGAGAGAGAGAGAG